TTAATAAGTTTTGATATAATGCCACTTACTTAACTAGTGAATAATAAATAAAATTATTAATTTTATAAGCAGCAGCCCAGCCCACCTTTTAACCTCTTAAGTTTACAATCAAGATTAGGAGTTAAATTAAATAACCTTTGATTAATAGCAGACTGATTTTAATTACTTATAAAAATTCGTTTTACGAAATAAAACTAAAGCCAAAACATGCAACATTTCGCTACTGTTAGTGCAATAGATCGTATGTAAAAATTGATAGTCCGTGGTACTGACACCTTTTTATCAAATTATTAACACCCAGTTAAAACTTCGTAAATAGCTTCATCTCATCGTAACCTACAAATATTTTATTTACGAAAACTGTCGGAATTGCGACGTTTTCAATCTGGAGATCGACAAACTTTGTCTATTTAATTAGGTACTAAAAACTCATGAATACCCATTTGTTTTCTACTTGAATAGTAAGATAACATGATCAGAAATTCGGAAAAAAAAAAATGGTGGCCTACAAAAATATTGGGTCGTTTGGGCTAAATAACCTCGTTATTTTGACATTTTGGGGATGGAGGTCACGCTAAACGATTTTACTCACACGCATAACCTATACTCATGTGCTAGATTTACACAAACATTTTCAATAAACTAGTTTCATGACGACCATTTATTTATTTCTTGGCATGAGCGGAAATCGGAATAAATGGACGTCCCTCAGTAAATACCCCGACAGGAAACGGAACCCAAGATCTTACAATATCTTTTATAAAAATTTAAAAAACGATAAAAAAATATCTTAGTACATAAAATAAAATTGCATTCTTTAACTTTAACCAGTGTGTGTTTTTTGTTTTTTTAAAGGGCCTGCACTTGTCTTGATATGTCTCTGTTTGCCCCCTTCCCCTCTCCAAATGGTAAAATATAACCATGTTTTACAGAAATAAAATATGATAAACTATCTCTTAAAATATTCTTATTCTTGTAATTACATTTAATAGGACTTGAAGAACCACATAAACACTATTTCATATAGATAGTTAATTTCTTTCAGTTTTTTTTTCAAATTAATTATCGTTATATATATATATGAAGAAAAAATCTTTCGGGCTGAAACCCTCCCCCCAAAAAATTAAATCCTGGATCCGCTAGTGCTATGGGGTGGCATGGTCCCTTCAAAATTTTTATGGAGATCACATTTTTACGAGAGAATGAAATTTTGAGGAGAATCATATTTTTGTGGAGTTTAAATTTGGGGGATTCATTTCAATTCAACATTGAAACCAGGGAACAAGGGAAAACATGGGGCAGGCTAATTGTAAATAAACTACAATTGTAATAATTCTGCATTCACTAGCACAAATTTTAAAAAAGAAAAGAGTAATGTAATTTTTTGGGAGAGAGTTATGTATGATTACCGTTGAGGGAGCATCCCTGTTAACATAATCAAATCTTTAAATAATAAAACCTGAATTCTACTCAACATTTAAGAAATATAATTAAAGATTAAATCAAAATATCTACAAAAACACAAAATTTAAAACTTGTTGTACACTCATAAATAATAGTGAAATATTTCGACTGCCTTAAGATCTCAAGATCCTTTTCTGCCTTAAACTTAAATTAAGTTGGTAAATATTATTTTTAACATGATTTTCCCTCTTGAATCCTTATGATAATAAAATGTAAGGCAATAACTTTGTTTATTAAATTACAAAAAACAAAAATGTAGTGAGAGAGATATTTCTCCCCATAATAAAGAAACAAATCGTAGCATTGCATAAGCTGGATTAGGTACAGGATATCCTTATGCACCTGATAGATGATCTACCATTGTTTTCCAGAGTCGTTTATTTTTCCTTTGCAACAATGTAGATTCCGCGTACAATGTGAAAATGAACTATTGTTAAAAAAAAAAAAAAGACTTGCAATCGAATCCTGTTATTTTCCTTATCTCATCAGGATATTTATGCATTCAAATATTTATTTTGTTTAAGTCAAATACCTCACTGTTTCCCTTTTATAGTTTAATAGTTTCTTTCTAAAATGTGACATTCCTTTTAGATAAAATATTGTTCTCATATAAAAGAATGAACTTCAACTATGTCGAGGGATTATGATCTAAATTTACAGTTAATTTTGATAATTATTTAGAATACCTAATACTTACCAAAAATAAACTAAAAATATTATGGAAAGTTCCAGCTGGTAGTAAATGTTTTCCATATTTTTTAGACTACATTCATAAACCTCTTTCTAATGTTATTCTTGACTTTTGAAAGTCATCAAAAGCTTTATTTTATCAAAGAAAATAATTAAAAAGCTGTTATCTGTCTTTCAGATATGAGCAGAAGCACCCAGAAGAAGGTTTTATGATGCAATTTGCTCCATAAAAATTTTTGAGGGAGTACATTTTTATAAGGTTTTGAATTTTTAAGGGGGGGGCACATTTCGACCGGTTTATGAATTTATGGAATGAAAAGATTCAAAAAAACAGACAAGGGAACCACGGAACAGACTGCAAGAAGGGCAATTGTATATAATATATAATGTTTTTAATTCTGCTTTTGCTTGCACAGTTTTTAAGAAGATTTGAGCAACAAAATATCTTGAGAGGAAAGAGACGCATTGATCTTGGGAAGGGCGGAGGGAGGGGAGAATGGGCACCTCTGGTTATGAGATATAGAAACTCTGTCAGAAGGGTTGGAAAAATTAAGATTTTATTTATTTTCAATTTAAAATAATGTTCTTGAAAAATCCTTCTGCAATAATAAAATAACTAATATGGTATATACAATTTTCTAATCACCTATAATTATCAAAACAAGTTTACAGGATATCTGTGCAGTAATCTGATGTACTGACTGAGATTATGTGATCAAAATAGTCACATCAATGGGACACTATACTTTCAACAACCTTATGGCAACAATGCCTTCACTTGTGAAGCCAAACTAAATAAACTGGAAAATTAAACTTTCTTACATCATATATGAATCCAACCATCCTCAGTTGCCCAACAACCCACTTAGTCAAGGTCTCCTTGAGAAAGTGGATAACTAAAGGATAAAAAAATCCTTACTTATCTGTATAATCTATTAAAGAATAGAGTAAAAAAAAAAAAAAAAAACAGCTGAAGTAGCATTTTTTGGTGGTAAATAATGAACTAAAACCATTTCATAAAATTACTCCATAAGAAAGGTAAAAACCTGTCAATATCAGGATTGATTAGCTAAAACTAATCAGATGTTTAGATACACTAATAAATCTAAAGCAAAAAAAAGTTGAAACTCTTAAATTACTCCATTTAAATTCCTTATTTATAATTTAAATAATTCAATTCTCCTTTTCAAATCTATAGAATTAATGAGATTTATAGAAAACAGCATCATACAATTTTTTTTTAATCCTACTAAATTTTAATTAAACTAATTCCTAAAGAGAAATAAAGAAATTAGTAAGAATGGTTTGCTTCAAAAATATCTTTTCTATAAGGTGTGGGATGATAGCTTTCTTTCTTATACTAATCATAAGAAAAACAATGTTAAGATATCCTGTTTAGAAATGTATATATATATTTTTTAATATATATATATATATTATATATAACTCATGTTACTCAGGTGGGATGGCCAAATGAGCTAACGCGTGTGCACAGCACCGCCATTGCTCAGCAACATGATATGTGAGACAAATGATAAAAAATAGTCACCAGTTCGAGTCTTTTAAATCCCCGCCCACCCTCCTGGCCCTGGAAAACCCCGTATAGTCTTAAAGGCAAGGAAAGGTAGGACCTCTTCCCAAAAAAGAGGATATTCAGAACCCAAGGAACCTGATGGCCTTGGTTAAGGTTTACACTTCTGGCAATGTTATCAAAGAGTTGGTGTTGGATTGGTACGGATATCTCTCCTAGGATAGACAGATATATCATAGACCCCATCTCTGAGTTTGATAAGGGAGAGACTGAGTAGAGCAGGGACTTCCAACTCCCTTTCAAAATTTTAATCTGTTATAGATCAATTCTGTGATTAGAGAATCCTTATGATTGACTAGCACAAAGAGGGAGCCTGATTCTTCAATCAGTTAAGGAGAAAGACGAGAAATGTTTTTGGAATTGTTCTTTTTTGTAATAGAAATGTAATCCAATATTCTTACAAGATAAGTTTAAGATAAAGTTTCTCTCATTTATTCATTCATTTAAAAGGTCTAGTGTTTTATCACTTATTGACTATTGGTCAAGAAACCAGTATTTCTTATCAAGCATATAGTCTGGGATTATATAGCTATGACTCAAACGAAGGAAGACTCATGTTAAAAATTTATTTGGATAGTTGAACATTAGCCAGAAAGTGTATTACACACTAACAATAATGAACTAAGAGTGGTATTAACATATTAATGTAATATGTTAATAATGAATTTAAACAGCAATATATCACATATTCTTAATAATAAATAAATTTGTTTTTTCATGCAAGTGAAATGAAAATGTTTTGATATTACTTTTTCAGGAGAAGTTATGTTATAAATGTCATAAAACATGTTTGCAAAAAAGTCTTTGCAATGATTAAATCCATGTTTTTAAGCAGAAACATTTGAATTAAAACAATAACTAAATTATATTTTTAAATAATATTTTTTTCTGAATAGGAGTTATGTTACATAGGTTTTAGTACTACTTTTATATAAGAAGATATTTGGATAAGTCATAAAAATAGGTTCTATAAAAGATCTTTAAAATTAATAAGTAAAATTTATAACAAAGGTAGTCATGAATAAAAATTAACATATATTTTCAATATGTACTTTTCACGCAAAATTACTGAAATCAATAAAAAAAAAAAAATTATGCTTGCCTAGAATTAAAACATGTACACTCGATGAAAATAATAACTGTTTTTATCTTATATTGTGTTATTAAGAATAAAATATGAGAAACAATACTAGGAAAGACAATGAATAATATGAATAATATTGGGAAATAAAAATTCAACGGTATATGATGTATACTTTTTTTAATAGGAAAATGTATACTTTTATTTAATTTTTAGTACAATATTTGTTAGCTTAAAAATAAAATGAGATTATATAAGATCATTCTTTAAAAAAAATATTTACACATTATCAACAAAACGATTAGAGTTATATCCAAGATTGTCAAATAAATTAATTAAATTTACAATAATTCTGTACATTTAAACATAACTAGATGTACAATATATTCATGTACACATCATAAAATATTTTAATCGATATATCAATATTAATACAATACCTTAAAATAAATATAAGGCCAACAATGCTGTACCTCTTATCAGACATCTTTAAATAAAACTAAACAATTAGTTTGACATTTAAATAGTATGTTATTAACAACAAACATGATATCACAGATCTAAATTATACATATAAAAATATATAATGGACGGAGATTTTACTGTCCATTTTAAAATAGTAATTCATACTGAGCCATTCCATGCAAAACATAAGTCATAACATAATAAATTATTGTCTCAACAGTATCAAAAATCAACTTCTCTAGATAACACAAATACTATTTACTTATAGAACTAAGCACAGTTTATTAAATTATCGTAAAGTCAAAAAGAGTCCGTTTACCTCGTCACACTTAATTCTCATCCAGGTTTTGAGAAAAACCTCACAGGTACCACAACACATTTTTTACTTTCCTAGAATTTATTTAAGGTAGACCGATGTTTTTCTTGAAAAAGTTTTCCAATATAACTAGATCTCTATCATCTAGTAAAGCAGAATACTGGTTAGGATTTTCTGGTATCCTAATCTGTCTTGACATGTTGGGATCATCGCTTTCACTTAATTTTGGATCATTGGACACAGTAGAAACAATGTTTCTTATTATATCTTGTAAAGTAGTAGCAGCATTGGAACTTTCAGTTACTGTACCATCATTTAGTTCAACGCCTTCTACAGAAATCCTCGCAGTGGAGGACTCCTGATTAGCCAGGGCTCTATTGAAAGTATCATGATTGCCCGATACATTTTGACCAGCATTCTCTAATAGGACTTCACTCTTGGCCACAGTTTCTTCCTCTGGATTTGGTGAACTACTTGTATCTTCTCCATCAACATTATTCTGAGATGCTATCGTTTTATTTATTTTATGGTTGGATGGGTCCTGAGATGAATCTTGTTCACTTGTTTCTGTAGTCATTCCAAGATAAACAGGCTTAATTTTTTGGTGAATCAGTATTTCTGCCAGTTTTTTCAAATCCTCTGGTGTGAGCAGCATGTGTGATGACGCGGATCCATTTTTAAAGGTAGAAACATCAATTTTATCATCTACAACAGTTACAAAACTTGCGAACTCAGGCTTAGTTGGATGGTAAATACCAACTTTTGCCATAGAAGATGCGTTAAGATTTGTACTATTTTCTAACTGGTGACCCTGTTCGCCATAACTCAATGAATTAACGTTCAGAACCGGAGGAATCGATATCAAAGAAGGGGTGGTAAAAGTATTGTCTGCCTTGGAACTGCTATAATTATCTGATGTTTCATCTCTACTAGGATAATGATATTCATCTATTTCAGGAACGTCAGTGTCCAGATTTCTATATCCTATGACAGCTCTCTTTGTTTCGGCCTTATTTTCATCAGGAGTTTGAGAAATCAGATAGATTTCAGAAGGCTCAGTACTAGATTCTGAATAGCCTGCAGTGGTATATATTTCATTACCATCAGTAGTTACAATCTCAGATTTGCTTTCTATAGTTGAAGTTCCATCATATTCATCTGAACCAGTTGTTGTGACGGTGCTGGTAGGTGGTTCAACAGTTGTTGAAACTTCTTCAGATGGACTAGAAGTAATTAATAAATTTTCACTTGAAGAATTATTATTTAAAATTAATTGACTTGAATGATTAGTTGGATCCTCAGATGTTGATGTTTGATTGTTGAGGATTTCAAAACTGCCTGTTGTATTAAAATTTTCATTACTATCTTCATTTGATTCTGAATCGCTCTCATCAGATTCTAAGGAATCATGTTTAGATCTTGAAGCAATTGTGGAGGATGTGGACTCAACCGATGTTGAATTACATTCACTACTGCTCTTATAATCATCATTCTCTGTACTGTTAGATTCATATTCTTCACTTACTATTGATGCCTCTGTAGCTGTGTAAGCTTCAAAGGTAGGCATATCTGAAATTTTACCTTGCAGTTCTTCATTTTTGTTATCGTGAGTATTAACCAGTTCAATTGGTAAATTAGTGGTTGTATATATATTTTCAGTGACTATTTCTTGGTTATTATTAAGTAATGGTGCTAATGTAGAACTTTCCTCATAAATTCCACCTTTTAAAAGTTCATAACCACTTCCTTCAGTTTCATTCCAGGTATTTGTTGTTTCATCTTCAACAGAGTTTATGTTTCCTTCTGTGTGATAATAATCTGGATATACTGTGGACATTTTATAAGAATCAGGGAGGCTGTTGAGATCAACTGATTCAGAAAGCGGATTTAATGTACTAGAAGTACCGGCTGTTGTAGGTTCACTCTTAACTTCTCTTGTTTCTGGAGTAGTTTCAAGCAGATGTTCTACTTCTGATGTACTCAAAGAATGCTCAGGGGAACTTACAGTAGAACTTACTTCCTTCACGATTTCCTCACTTTCTTTTGATCCACTATGATCATTTGTTTTTATTCGAGGAATCACACTTACTTCGCTGGGTTTACTTTCTGATCCAGGTGTAGTTGGTAGAATTTCAACAATTCTTATAGTTTGAGGGTATATATTTGGCGAAGCACTTGATTCCTCATTAGAAACTGAAGTGAGGCTGTTAGGTTTCGTAAGTGGCCAGGGTTGCATCTCCCTTTTTGGGCTGTAAAGGGATGTGTTTACCGACCTTACTGAATTTCCAGAAGCCCTGCTGCTTTCTGAAAAATAAAAAAACAAAGAAACAGTAAAACATTTTACTTTAACAAAATATAAAATGTTAAAAAAAAAAAAAATGAAAAACATTATAATCATAATATTATTAGGTATAACCATAGAATTCATATGCTAGGAGAAGAGAGAATCATAGGGTACTACAATAATAGAACTATCTAAAATAATACATCGTAAAAACATTTTTTCAAATGTTAAAGCCAATTCATGATGCAAAAAAAAATTAATAATAATAAAAACTTAATGTCTATTCCATGTTAAATCAGTTTTAGCAACACTTCCACAGGTTTTGATGATATTAATAAATTTTATTTAACTTTTGAACGACAACAATGACATATACCTGTTAATAAATTACTATGGTATAATAAACATCCTTTGATCATCTGTTCTGAAAGAAGTTCTTGAAGAATGTTTAAAAAAGATTGTGCCAAAAAACTAAAAGGTTTTGGATGAAGTGAAAAAAATATTTCAATTAGCAGTAATATGTAGTAAAAAGACTAGCAACTCACAAATTTAGGGGTGAATTTTGATTAATATATTTTGTTATTCATCATTGTAATTTTATTAAATATTCTTCTGATGTGTACAGTAATTCTATTTTTCATTAATCTGATAGCCTTTATATTAAAAAGTTTTTTAGAACAAATCAGAAAATTTTATCATGTCTGATTTCTGTGGTCTTTGTAAAACATATTTATATCTAAAATCTTAAATTCTAAAGAATTACATTTAAATATTTTAAGTTTTTTGGGAGATGAAGATAAACTGACTGAAGCACTTTTTTGTGACTTTAGGAATAACTCTTGCGAAATAAAAAAAAAAAATTCTCAAAGTCGGGAACGTCTGTTAAAGATCAGATTTCTGAGACTTTGGAGACAGTAAAATTTAAAAAAAAATCTATAAATGATAGGAAAGAAAAAAAAAATTCTGTTGCTATCTGGATAGTAATAAGATCAATCAATTGTGCCAGGTACTATCATAATCTAGAGATTAGGTGTATAGATGATTTATCATAAAATGACCCTTAAGTGAAAAATTTATATAACAAAAAGCAGAAAACATTAAATTTATTTTTAAAAGAAATCCCTGATGCTGATTAAGAATCTTGTGATAATTAAGAGATTCCAAGGCATTAAATAAGGAATATCATTTTCTTGAAAACTTTTTGGTTCATCCAAAATTATCACTAAACTAATCTGTAAAGATTATTTCAATGAAATATGAACAGAGTTCATTCAGTTTTTGGATCATCCAGGAATAAAATGTGGAATATCATATTGAATAAACAGCTATAGTAGCTATTATAAGAGGGCTTAACAATCGAATTTTTTTAAAGAAACATTAGGCAATTGTGTGTAATATGAAATATAATTTTTTTTTTGTTCTATATTCAACAAGTAATAACATTTACAATATATACTATTATAATTGTAATTAATAAATCAAACCAAACTAGAACATTATTATACAATAAATGGTGATAATGTGGAATGAATTAGTAAAACTAGCTACTAGAAACTTTGCAAAATGTGGACAAATGCACAGAAAGGGTCCATTAGATTAAGTTTACAACTTGCTATAAATAAAAAAATGTTGTAGACAATCCATTGGTGTACATATTCAAAAATGGATATTGATCATCAGAAAAAAATTTCATTCCAAATTAAGTCTTCTTGAAACAACAGCAGACTTATAGATGAATTGGGGATCAACTTCAACTATGATACATTTTATTGCATTTTCATTATAAGTAGTATAAAACTGTTTTAAAAAATGTAAACATAAAAAAACAAAAATATTTATAAATAAATTTAAACAAATTGCCATGTGAACTGTCATAGCAATACCTAAAATTCTTTTGGAAAACATTTCAAATGTTAAATTTGGAGAACAATTCATAGTTCCTTAAAGTACAAACAATTAAGAAATTATTATAGACCATAAACAATGCTAATAGGGATCCACATAAAAATATTTATTTTGATTTAATATTTGGTTAATCATTTTATAAAAAAGATGTTTTTATTAACTTATAACAAGTATCTATAGAATAAGAATAAATATGAATAGATCTTAAATAGATTTAAATAATAAATTAAATTAAAAACCAATCTATAAAAATATAATTATATTAAAAAATAAATGCAAATGCCTATGTTACAGTATAATAAAACACATTTCAATTGAAGTAATTGAAATATGTAGAGCATATACAGTACCAATGCTCAATACAATATAATTAGTATTTAAAAGGATGGAACAAAATTATCAGGGATTTTATTCATGATAATATTTATTGGGCTAGCCTACATTTTGACCCAAACATGTGGGTCATCATCATCAGAACTTGAGTTCTTGTCTCGACATCCGAACGATATCGCTGATGATGACCCACATGTTTGGCTCAAAATGTTGCCTAGCCCAATAAATATTATCATGACTGAAATTCCTGACAATTTTGTTTCATCCTCATAATTGATGAGTCGATTATTTACCCATCTCTATTAGTATTTAAAAGTTTTGTTTTATTATCATGAAATAATGGAGTTTTGTTTTATCTATATTAAAATTATTCAATATATTTGTTGCAGAATAGAAACAATCATGTGTCGGGAGTGAATTTTAGTGGAGCTGTATGATTCCTGATTGTACACCACTTTCACTATGTTCAGATTCGTGCAGAAAATCCAAGGTAAGAATTTAATATTATAATACAATTGATCAGTCAAACTCAATGAATATTCTGGTTTCTCTTTGGAATACTTTGACATACTTCATCTTTAAAATAAAATCTTTTTGACATAATTGGTTATATTATACTGATTTATTGTTATTTATTATTTTTTTTGTTTTGTTTCAGGTAAGTGAGCACCAGTTTGTTTCTTACTTAATCTGTAAGTAGATTAGTGTCTTACATTTTAATGTGGCTGTTGGAAAATAAAATAAAAATAAACTGTCAGCAGATATTTTCATTGCTGACATCTTTAAACTATTGGGTAGGAGTTAAAGGAATGTGGTAGCTCAGTGATATGGCACTTCTCTTATTTATCTGGCCTGCGCTAGAATCCAGCAGTGGCAAGTTATTATTTATATAATATATTAGCCATGGATTGAACCTGAAGCTAGGAGACCCAAGTTATATTAATTCCTTATAAAGTGGATGCCTTTAGTTAGGGAGAAATTTTGATTTGACAATTTGCTGATCAGCTCCTTACATGGAGATTGAACAAGAAAAAGTACGTCTTGACCAAGCACAGAACCCAAGAACTTCATGATTTGTAAGGGGCACAGTTCAAAACTTCAGGAATAACTTACTTTTTAGTTTGACTTAAGTAATAAAATAAACAAGAAAAATTGGTCTTTTACAATACATGGTAACAATGCATGACTAATAGAAGTAGCACATTTAATAAAAAAGATTCGAAAACTCTATTATGAAAAAAACATGCCATCAACTGTTAAAACCTCGTAAGTAATTTTATAATTCTTATTATCACTAAAAGAGAAGAACAACCGAGAAACTGAAAAAAAACATTAGTATATTTTGATTGCTTCCCCAGAGGGCATGAAAAATACACAAATACTCCTATAATTTTAAGACTTTTAAAAGTCTGTTTTGTTCATTCTGTTGTAATAATTAATATTAAATAATTTTAAAAGAAAACTGTTATTTATATGAGGTAATTCTCTACACCATGCATCATTGCCTAACCAACTTAATCGAAAGCCAAATTAACTAAAAAGAACTCTTAAAAATAATTAATTATCTTATTCATTATACTCAAATCCCTCTCTACCGCTTTGCAGTGTGGGATTCCCACAATAGAGCTTGGACTAACTGTCCCTCTCATGTTTCAGTCCCAGCCCTCGCTCTCTGAATTTTCAACATATTATCCGTCATCATTTTTCAACATTGTGATCTGTGGTCTTCCTCCCTCCACTCGAGTTTCGTATGTTATCCTGGCTCTCCTCACCATACTCATTCTAAGGAGGTGCCCAAACCATCTTAATTTATTCTCTTTAAGAGTGGTTTCTACCCTCTGTACCTTGAGGTTTGACCTTATAGTTGAGTTGCAGATCTGATCTTCCCTTCAACCTTTCTCAGGTACCTCATATCCATTAGCTGATCTGTTCCTTGTGTTTAGAGGTAAGGATACATGACTATGGGGAGTAAGAGAGGATAGGCAAGAATCTTGACTTGTAGAAGGATAACTTGGTTTCCTTCATCATCCTCTTCTGTTGACCAAACCTTTCCAGATTCAGTGGAACATTCTTCCAACTGCTCTCGGTCTTTGTGCCACCTCTCCATCGACATAGTAACTTCCATTGATCCAGACACCTAGATATTTGAAATCCTGTACCTGTTCCAAAACCTGACCTTTCTACCACAATATTCTCATCATTCGGACGGGCCGTCGTCCTGTTGTAATTCATTTTGTTTTTTTCTGGATTGATATTTATGTTTACGGAATACTTTTCTTATATTACTTAATTAAACATATATCTTCTTATCTTAGTCAATAATAAATCTCTTGTTTCATTTTATACAACTGATTGTTGTAAAATGGTTCATTATCTAATAAAGGAATAACAAATATTTTAGACAGTACCAAATTGTGAGGCTAAGTAGAACTTTAGGATACTTCTGATACAATTTATATAGATCAATTAATGTAAAAAAAATAATTATGTTTAATTATTAGCTCAGATTAACAATAAAAAAGTGTTCACATGGCATTTTTTGGATTAGATATAAAATTTATTCATCATTATCTTGAAAATAATCATAAAACATAAGGATGTTAACATCTTCTGTATAATATTTACCTACTGGACAGTGATCATATCTTGGACAGCATTGTCCAGCGGTGTAGTGCGGTTGGCAGTCGTCTCTTTCGTAACATGTTATTGAAGTGCACATTATTTCACCACCTTTGCAATAACAAACTTGACATGGGTCTTCTGGTTTGTCGAGCCTCTCTCCATTGTTGTACACAATACCATTATATTCGCAATCTAGGAATAAAAAGTTAAATATGAAATTTGGCCATAAACATTTCTATTTAAAAAAAAAACTAGCTAATTAAAAACTTTCATAATTTTGATTAGAATGAAAGTGATGCAGGTCTAGTTAGAACAATTTTGACATATTGACTGTAAAGTGTACAATGTTAATCATTTAATTTTTAAAAAAATTACAAATGAGGATACAGTAGATAAATTCCAAAATATAAAGTATTCATACTCTAAAGTAAGAGTAAACAACTAGCAATACTGAATAACTAATGATATTTGTCTAACATAGCAATTAATGAAATGAACTTAGTATGCATCAGAATTTTATCATCAAGGAATGAATCTACATTACAGCTATGTTTGTTTTATTCTGATATTTTTTCTTTAAACAATTTATAATGATACTATCTAAAATAAAATATAAAATACTATCTATATATACCATTTTAAGTTCAAACTAAGGAAGTTAGAACCATGTTAGTTAAGTCAGGAAGCTAAACTGGGTACAATTTACATTTAAATTAACAGGCTTGCCTACATTTTAATGTCATTTGTTGTTGCATATAGCTGTTAAACTAACTGTTGAATTGCCATGGCTTGTTGGTTAATGTTTTTACCATTAATTTAATGCAAATTATTGACAAAAAAATAATCCTAAAAATTAATAATTAAAAATAAAACTATTTTTTTAAATCCTAAGGGAATTGTTTCCTTACCACATTTATATTCAGGACAGCATTGACCAGACTGCTGTAATATTCTGCATCCACTATTAGGCTGACACTTAATCATGGAGCATATAACGTCAGGTACTTCGCAGACACACTTTTCACATGGGCCCAAGCTTGGAACTTCTTGTCCATTTTCATAAGTATGATCATCCAATATGCATACTGTAATTTAATTAATGATAATAATTATGGACTAAATAAATTAATAATAATATTTACCTGATTAGAAAATAAATCAATCAACTTTGAAAAACTTTAAGTTTAATTAATTACTATAATTAAAGCATACCATTTTTGGAAATTGTGCCGTTGGTAGAGGAGCTTTGATCACGTTTAATTCTTCGTTGTTCAGAAATAGGAACTGAAAAAAAAAATTGTGTAATAAATCTTAAACCCATAGTTACTTTTTGTTAATAAACAGCATATAAAAGATATATAAATATGTAATATAAAATTAGGTTATTTTATAAACTAGGAAAAAATGACTTTCATACAAGACTTGCCACGTCTAGTCACAGAAAAAAAAAATGGAATATCTAATTTTACAGAAACTTATATTAGGTCTACAGTATTTTTTGTTTAATATTTCAAGATAAATCTATGTTTATCCACCCTTGGAATACTTCAAGATTATGCAATTATATCAAGTAAAACTCCTTAAATTAAAGAAGATAATAGTATTGGTTGAAGTTAGAGGATAATATGCTTGGTAATATCTTAGTAAAAAAGTATCAAACAAGGCTTGCTAGTCATATTGATACACAGGAGATTTAAGGGGAGGGGAAGAAAGGGGAGGGGAAGAAAGGGGAGGAGGCTTTCGGGTTAAAGTCCCTCTCTCAAATTGGAAAAATGTTACCATGCTTTAGGGTAAAAAATATTAAAAAATTATCTCTAAAGTATTATTGTTCGTATAATTACATTTAATACTCCAATAATCACTTAAAGATCATTTCATGTAGGTAGTTAGTATTTTTCCTTTTCTTCCAAAGTAATTATCATTATATATATATATATATATATATATATATATATATATATATATATATATATATATATATATAAATAAAAAAGTTTTCGGGCTGAAGCCCTCCCCCCAAAATTAAATTATGAATCCGCTAGTGCCTTGATAAATATCTTGAAAATATTATGAAAGTTAAAGAAATGATCATGAAATTATCATTTCCAACACTGATTGAAACAGTGTTCAAGTCCTGGTAGAAATTTCCTATATTAATAGATGGGTTTTATCAGAGTCAGAGACGGGTTTTGATAGATGATTACTACGTCCACTTAACCATAAAAAAATTATTAATTTTTGCTTGATACTATAGAGAATTTTTACTGCTTGTGTTTTAATTATTAGAAACGTATCTTTTAAAATACTAAGTCAAACAATGTAAATATAAATAACTGAAGTTTCGAAGATACTGTAGAAACCCTAGTGAGATGGTACAAAATATTTTTGAACTTCAGTCATTAATATATCATCACCCTCTTGGATAATAATCTTTATTAATTTTGCAACAAATTCCTTTAGAATAAAATATAGTATTGGATTGTAGGCTTTAGAGCATCAGAGGTAAATAGAAAATAATAATAAAATAAACATAGAAAAATAATAATAAGTTATAAATTAACTTTTAACAGTATATGCGATAAAACATAATACTTTATTACATTATAATAATCAGTGTTATATGGTGAGATCACATAATCATACTTCAAGAGAATTTGAGCCAACGCAAGACATCAGACAAGGAGGCCTGAGTTTACTGCTTATCATCAGAAATACCGACATAGCTCTGAACAGTGCTGAATCAAAGTTAAACTCGAATTTTTCGAATCCCTGCCCTCACTCCCTGGCTGGAGAAAACCCCATATAGCCTTAAAGGTGAGGAAGGGGAGGACCCAAAAAAAAAAAAATAAATAAAAAAAGTAACAAAAGCAGTATTTCAATTACCTTAAGAACGGTAAAAGAAGTACCAAAAAGACAAATAATATAATTTATAAAAACGCCATGGAGATGAGGTAATTTAGAAGAATGAAGAGCAAGATAAGAAGAAACCGAATCCGAAGTAAAACAGTGAGGTCATGCCTTGAACTTAGGCCAGGTGAAGATATCATCGAGGAACACCAGTTGAGATCTTTGAATACGTTGCAAGAATTATATGATCTACGATTTGTCTAATCCTGCTTTCGCTTCCACTGTTTTTAAGAAGAAGAGAGTAATATTTTTGACAGATGAGTGATGGAATGGGGAAGGAGAGGCCGAATGTTTGAGGACAGAGATAATTGGATCAAGCTCCATCGGAGGGATCCTCACACTGCTATGGAGAAGAAGAGAAGGAGATCAATGAAATAAATAATTATAATGATTTAAATTTGTCATAATTTTGTTTGATTCCTGATCATTTTAATGGAATGAACTCGGTAGTTTTGAATTGTTTTTGGGTATCGATTTAACTACACTGAAGGAAGACTTATCAATTGAACTAAAATTTAATCAAACATTTTTATTATAGTTTTACGGAGGTGCAATATATTGGTGTATCCATCTAGCATTAGGACATTTTCTCCTTCATCGTTTCTTTGACCTTTGCTAGAAGAAGCGTTCCTTCTCTGGATGATGAAAAAATATGTGAAAAAACGGCTGCAATGGCTGTCATGCCATAGAGGCGAAGGAAGACGGACCGAGAATTTGTGAAGGTGCGAACTAAAGGGAATACGACGGGTTGGGGACTAGAGAGACAGGATAAAAAAGAAGAGACTAAAAAGTGGAAATAGGAAATGATTGATAGTTAAGAGGGGAGCCGAGAGGCGGCTTTAGGCACGGCCTCGTTGGCAGCTTTTTGCCCGGCCTCAGCTCCTCTCGGCTTTTTTACTGTTATTATTAGCCGCCCATTGTGTCCGCCGCGCTGCACCATTCTGCACCCGGATGCGGTACCCCGGCGGCCGGGGGCAATGCCACTCCTCCCAGTCATCCCTCTTCTTGCGGCCGACTGGATGTATCAATGCACCTCCAGCTTTTTCTACAACGGTTGCACTCTTATCAGAGTAAACAATTTTTGCAGCATCCTTGGCAGACAAAAATAAAAATTTTGGCACAGTTTTCCATAAAACTGATGTCAGATTTGCAGGAAGAGGAGGGAGAGAGTTTTCGTTATGAAGTCAATCCCTTTCTCCTCTCTCTCTCTCACCTTCCAAAAATGTAAAAATATTATTTTTTCTCTGTTGGTCCATGTCGAAACAAGTAAGAGTAAACATGTTTTACGGTATCCTTTGCAGACAAAAACAAAAAAATTGGTACAGTTTTTCATAAAAGCATTATCAGATCTGCGGGGGAAGAGGAAGAGCTTTCGTTGTGAAGCCAGCCGATAAACTGAATTTTAGTTTTAGCTTCTTTCTTATCTTAGCCCTAATAAAGGCCTGAACTTTGGGCCGAGACGTCGACAAAAATAAAAATAAATATTATTTATTTATTTTTACATTTTTTTTTACTGAACAACCCAACCAATCTTCTCTTCAATTATTCATTTCAGTCAAACATCAATAAAAAATTATGAAACTTTCTAAAATTGGATGGATTTCCATGAGCGAAATATTCTTAAAAACATTTAAAAATATCTACTGTCAATAGAAAAACAGTTTTTTTTTTTTTTTTGCAATGACGCCATTGCGTACAGTATAAGAAACCGAAACTCTACAAAGCAAAAAAAAAAGTATTAATGAACGGACACACGGGAAAGGAGAACAAGGATTTGTATTTAGTGACAATAAGTAACTAAAATTGGCAGAATGACTCGAATGCTTAGAGATAAAAAAACAATTATATAAAACATTTGGTCAGTAAAACATTAATCGATTATAGAATGGAGACACTGCATAATGCGGAACAAGAGGGACTATTCTCTGTAACTGTATTAGATGACGGAATGACATCGGCGTGTAAATTCGAATGAATAAAATATGACTGATTCCCGAAAGTTTGTAAGTTTGTAAACGACAGGAGGTAGTACTGCCAGCTTGATAAATAATAATTAAAAAACATAAATATATAAAAATTACTTCAAACATAAAATATGTCTTTTACAACAAGCAGGGGTGCCCAGAAGGGGGTTTTATGGCGCAAGTTGCGCCATCAAAGGTTTTGAGGGGGGGGGGGGAGATATTTTTACAGGTATTTGAAATTTTGAGTGGCGCACATTTTAACGGGGTTACGAATTTTTCGAATGAAAATTTTCAGAATAAGAGGCAAGAAGTAAACGTTGAACAGACAGGAGCAAGTATAATTGTATGTCATCTATGATTTTTCTAATTCTACTTCTCACGCTATGTTTTTAAAAAAATATGAGCAATGAAACATCTTGGGAGAGGGAGGTAGGTTCTTACGCCATCGACTTTGGAGAAGATGGATACTTCTGGCAACAAGTTAACTCGAAATATTAAAGACAAATATGTTATTAATTTTTATATTCAACAATTGTAAAAGAAAACTATGTTCTAATCTAAATTTTTTAAACATTTCGTAACATAATAGATTTTTTGTAATCAATGAAGATGTTATGTGGTTATCTTCGCCTTGTAACAATAACATCCTAGATTTTTGGTTAATAGTACTATTCCCCAACGGATTGGATAGCATGTCTTCACAAAAAAAATTAAAAAGAAAAATTGATTATTTACTAAAAACTTTCACTTGGTTACATAACACCTGCGTCCACCCTTGTCTTCAATTAATCATTTTCATCCAAACATTCTAAGAATTGGATGTTTTGTTTTTTAATTTATATTTTTTCCCCCTAAGAATTTCATATTTTTGATTTATAAAAATTATCCGTCGAATATTCCTGAAACGCATCTCAGAAGATTCCGAAAAAAATACGCTATGGAAATTTATAGTATTGAAAAAAAAAAGTAATTAATGTACATAAGAAAAATAAATCTCAAATAGTACTACTAATTTTGTAACATTTGTCATTATGTTATGATTATTTAGTTATACGTTATGTAATTGTGTTCAGTTAGTCATGCATTTTTTAAATAACAGACGTTGCAATTTACTTATATTTTTCTTTACTAGTTAAGAATGTTGGCTTATATGATTAATTTAATTACCATTTATGTATCATTCTATTTAAGCAGCGAATATTTTATTTCACCTTTTCTTATCTGTTTATTAATATATTCTTTTTTTCAATAACCATGTACATACGTAGGTATTTATTTTAATTTTTTCTTATGTAATCGGTCTTATGGCTATAATCATCATTTTTGTTTCTTTTGTTATTCTTAACGGACATATAATCCCAGAATTAATTAATTCATTAAACTTAAGTTGAATTTTCTATTTCAAATAATCTTCATGTTGCAAATCATTGAACTGTATATATTGTTCCTCAACAACTCCCCTTCCCTTCCCCTCTTAATGACTTTTTAGCTCTCTTCTTTAAATTATAGTCTACAATAAACAATAATTTTTTATTTATTTTCCACCTTCGCTCCACTGAGCATTGTCCAAACCAACTCCGCAAGATAAGTCTTAATGCGTTCCTCCACCAGCTACGCCTTGGTGTAGGTCTATACCTCGGGCCCTTACTTGTCTGTTTAGCGTTCTTTTAACTTTTAAGGCTTCGTTCTTTACTACTAAAATTATACCACCCATTTTATTCGCCTCAATAATATCCACTTGATTATATTTACCGGATACAGTTCACGCTAAGCGGCATTGTGTACACTTATAATTTTTTCCGTTGATTCTTCCTTTTTTAGTCCAAATATTTTAATCCTTAATTGTATGAAGCCTTAATACGCCTTGTATTTAAGCGGCCACATTCCAGATTCTTAAGAAACAATATGGATAATAGTTATGTCCTACACCATGACCTTAATATCCCATTTATTCTTGATCTTATCCCAGCCAAATTTTCCAAATTTCACCAGAACCTTTCTCATCACCCAAATCCCGTTGTACAATCCCTATCAAGCACCACCCATCCCTACAATCCCCTTCGTAGGTTAAAGCGGCAGTGGCCACGAGACCTTTTGTAAATATGGATATTTTGGAGTTCTAGCAATGGCCAGATTCTCCACTCAAGTCATGAGTGTCTGTGACTGTAGCGCTCTTACTCATCCTCCGCTGGTTTAAAATACCAGTGAAGTGGCTGAGGGAGAAGCGTAGGGATCTCCTAAGCCTCCCTTTTCCCTAAACACGTGGAGGGGACAGGATTGGTTCGGAGATCACCTGGCAAATTGTAAATAATGTATATAGGTATGATTTATATAAGGTGTTTGTTTTACTTTTATTTCTATTTTTATTTACTTATGTGTATATATATATATATATATATATATATATTTTTTTTCTTTACTCTTTTGTTCTTTTTTTTCTTATTCTTTTGTTATTACTTTATTTAATTATATTTTTGTATATACGGTATGAATGCAATCTCTGAACTCCATTATAAGTGTCCTTAAACTGTGACAAATTGTAATATTTCTGAATAAAGTGTTTTAATAATCTAAAAAAAAAAAAAAGTTATGTAAAGTTCAGTTTTTAATTTTCGGGAGAGAAAATGTGAAGTTTTGCAACTCGAAAATAACAAATATTTATTGCCATTAACATGTTTTTATCGATTTCTTCTTCATTTTGTTTTTTTAATATATTTACCGTGGAACCTCAATACCTGAGTTCTCTACATGATCAAACGTTTCTTTTCTATTGAATACTGATGGTTGACCGTAGTGTGTTATTGACTAAAATAAACGGCTTCTCAAAATCCTTTTGTACCTTGTTCGATCTAGCCCTCATGAAGACCTGTAAAGCCGGTTCGAAACGTTGGCTTTAAATAAAATAGTTTGTTACTATTTTAGTATTTTTATGACCAACACCCGGAACCATCTTCTTACTCAGTTTCCTTTCTATATTTTTATAAATGAAATCGTTGCCGTTTCCGTATTTAATTCAAGCTTCAGCCATAACCGGCTTTCATATGGGTTGCTATTTTTAGTTTTATAGTTTCATAGTCTTACTTAACAATAACACTGTTTGTGTTACATTGCAAAATATTACTGCGAATTTCTAAGGTCGAGTTTTTATTTCGCAAATACAAACAGTTGAACAAATTGTTTGTTCCTGAAGAAGGAGTGGCAGGAGGTGCAGGTAACTCAAATGTTTATTTAGAAACCATTACAAGAATATTTTTTCTGAGAAAGTTTTGTATGTTTCAAACCTTGACAAACATTAGGACGACTAATAGACGAAAAAAAAACAAAAAAAACAAAACAGAAAATTAATTATTTTACACACTGCAAAGAAAAATTTAATTCATTAGAATAAACTAAAAATATTTTGATTATTTACCTGCTGTGCTGGCCACGACGAGCAGGAGCAAGAAGAAAAATCGGCCTTGCCCCATACTGAAACATAAATAATAATAATTTATTTTTTTTGTTGTGCATTATATATTTTTTTTAAATAATTACTATATTTCGATTACTAGTGTTAGTTATATAGACAATCGTTTAAATATCTTCATTCCAAGAGATAGACAGAAAACGAAAATCTTTTTTAACAGTAATAACTTTTTTATAGTCATTTTGTAAATTATAAATTCACATAAATAACTATGTTTATATATTTAGACATAAACTAAATCTACACTCAAATCTGCTTAAACTCTTATAGACAAATTACGCTACGCAAATTCATATTTGAAAAAAAAAAACTTATAAAAACAACTAGTCCGTGGTACAGATCCTTTTTCAGCAAATTGTTAGCATCCGCCTGGAACTTTGTGAATAGCCTCATCTCATCGTAAATTACAACTATTTTATTTACGAAAATTCCTGGCATTGGTGTATTATCAATCTGAAGATCTGAAAAGTTTGTCTATTGAATTAGGAACCAGAAACTTGTAAATATCAATTTGCCTTCCACTTGGATCGTGAGATAATTTTATCACGAAATCGAGAAAAAGGTGGGCCACAAAAATATTGGGCCGTTTAGAGCGACCTTCACCTCCAAAAAGCCAAAATAACGAAGTTATATACGCCAAACGGCCCAATATTTTTTTAAGCCACCTTTTTTCTCGATTTTGTGCTCAAATTATCTTACAATTGAAGTCGAAAGCCAATGGGTATTTACGAGTTTTTAGTACCTAATTAAATAGACAAACTTTGCCGACTCCAGATTGAAAGCGCCACAATTCCAAGAGTTTTCGTAAATAATGCTTGTAGGTTACGATGAGATTAAGCTATTTACTAAGTTTCAGGCGGATGTTAATAATTTGTTAAAAAGGGGTCTGTACTACGGCCTAAACACTCATTTCAATTCAAAATTTTAAAGGTAATAACAGGCACGCCTTGTCAGATAAATAAGAAAACTCTAAATATCGACTAAGAATAAACAACTATCAACCGACACTTATGTTTATTCTGGTTTCCATAATAAAATAAAAGGACATAAAAACGGACAATGGCTGCGGCTTATATCTCCATAAGGAGGAAAAAAGGAGCTGGATGTGAGACCTGCTTTTATGAATTAAGGGAATTCATAAATCAATATCGAGTAGATGTACTGCGTCCTATCCTTCCGGCTGCCTGACATTCCATATCTATAATCTATCAAGTTTGCTTATGGTCTTCCTTTTCTATGACAGAAGTGGATGTAGAAATGGATAGAAAAAAATAATATATATAAAAAAAATTGAATGTGAAAAAGTTACATTTAATGTTATATTATGTTGAAATATTCATTGCTCGTGAATATATTTTCCCTTATTTGCATATTATGGTATGTATGTTTCGAATAACTCAAATCCAAAATTTCTTTTTATTTTATAAGCAGTTGTCAATAGTGCTTTCTCTTGGATCAGACTCCACTGAGAGTGCCAATAAAACTATAAAATTCATCATTTATTTGAATTTGACGTTTTTATATTCTTCTTCAACTAGGATAAGGCCCATAAAATTTATTGATGCAATGTAAATTGAAATTTTCTATCCTCCCATATATTCCTAGATAACTTGACGTCTGTAAATGTATAGGCGTAGAGAGAGGGCAATGAATACAAAATTTCATTATTGATAAAAATTGACTTTAAAAATACAATAACATAAGTAATTATTAAAATATAATAATTTATTTAAAAATATATAATTTCGGTTTAATAAAACTGCTCGTTACCATCCGCCACTATTCTTTGTCTAGAAGTAATCTTTTACAAAATAGCTCGACTAAATACAAATGCGAAAACCGCAGAGTGAACAATAAGCATAATATTTGGTTATGAAAAATATGAATACAATGATATCCGTTTCACATGATTCAAGATGTAAATCGTCATCGAAAATTATTGTGAAATTTTAATTGTCTTTAACTATATATTTCTAAAAATATTCTAAAGAATAGGAATAGGAGACGATTTTTTAATAAAAAGAAATCTCATGACTAATAATTTTAATTGTAAATTTAAGTAACGAAAAAAAATATAACATATATGATTTGAAAGTTAGTTGGTGAAATAACAAAGAAATATATAATTTTTTATAACTATTAAATAAACAATTTTTTATTTGTCTCTGTGATTGCAACCCACAACCAAAGTGTTGTGATTCGAAAATAAATAAAAATGTTTCAGGACCGTATGGAAGCATAGATTATAAGAACAAAAAAAATATACTATAATTGGAATATGCGTCTGAATTAGTGTTGCCCAAAATAGATTTTGATCTTGCACTTTGCAAAACCAAGACCAAGACCGCCTAACTGTTGCAAGACCAAGACCAAGTCTGGTAAAAAAAATTGTTTTTGTGAATAAAAATTACGACAAAATAATTACTAATACTTGACAATTTTAGTTACTATACGTAAAGAATTGGTATAAACACAATACTTCCGCATTTAACTCTTCCAATTTTTCATTTAGGCTTAGTTACGTTTCCACTACCTTAAAAATTATAGTAATATCTCTATATTAACAGGCTAATAGGTAACAGCAAGACTGTTGCAAGACCAAAACCTAGATCAAGACTTGTCTTGGTCTCGCATTTGGGCAACACTAGTCTGAATAATGTTTTAAGTTTTTAATTTTTATAATTGAATATGTGAATTTGAGGTGTTTGCTTTATTTTTATTATCATGTTCTGTTTTGTACATTGCTTATTTGATAGTAGATAGAAACGTTCTCAAAATCCTCCTACGGAATAATTATTTCTTTACTATAAGATAATTGACAAGAACACTTTTGTAAACATTAAGCCAAAGAAAAGTAAATAAAGTCTGAATATTGTAAATGTTCTTAGGAGATTTTTAATATATATAAAACCATTATATAACCGAAATAAAACCATTTTTTTATTCAGTAATTTACTATTTTACTAGCTAAACAAACAAAAACTGTATTTTTTTGTTTGTTTTTTTACGACCAATATGTTAATTTTCTATGAAAGGTGTTTTATTTTTTAACTTATATACTAACCCACCGAGGGGTCTGAAAAGAAGATGGCCTCGGGACCTTCTAATTCAGAACTTTAATTTGAGTTCTACCAATGGGTAGTTTCTCTTCATGTTGTACATGTCACATTTACTTGTTATATTTTCCGTGTAATACAGTTTTAAATTTCATTAAAATAAAAAAAAACTTATATATTGTATTTTTTTTTTTTAAGAGAAGGATGGTTGGTGTCAGAGGCGGATTTACGGGGGGGGGGGGGCTTTCGGGCTCTAGCCTCCTCCCAAAATGGTAAAATATAATCATGTTTTACAGGAAAAATATTAAAAACTATCTCTTAAACTATCTCTTCTTGTTCGTTTAATTGCATTTAATAGGACTTCAACAACCACTTAAACAACAACCATTTCATGTAGATAGTTAATTTCTTTTTCTTTTTTTTCAAATTAAGTATTGTTATTGAAAAAAAAATCTTTCGGGCTGAAGCCCTCCCAAAATTAAATCCTGGATCAGCTAGTGGGGTGATCACTCAAAATAAAAATAGCAAAAATGAATAATAATATTTGTTTTGTTTGTTTATTTATTTATTTTCATTTATGAGAGAAAAATTACGCACGTTCTATTAAAAATGCCATTGCATGTTTGAAGGGCAGAACTCTGATATAAAAAAAAATTCTATTTCACATTTACTGAATAAATAAACCATGTTTTTCATTTGCAACGGTGTTTAATAAAGCTGGCTGGATCCGTACAATATTTTTAGTCAACTATTTTTTTTTTTCTAGTTTTCCTAAAGTTGGGTCTAATAGAAAACTTCCTTGCAACATCAACGGTATGATTTTTAACACCATCTTATACTCTCAAGGGAAAAAAATAAAATATTAGCCATGACCTTGAGCGTAATTATCGCGACTAGCGATGAGCTTAAGAAAGCAATTAGCAGAGCCCTTTAATAAAGAGATGGAACGAGGAACCGAAGAGACAAACGCCAGGCCCGACAGCCTCAATTAGGCCAATGGATCTCCGCTGCGCATCAGGTTTAGGAAGTGGAACAATGGATCAGTTAGCGACCTTGTGCCTCTCATTGCTATGGAAATGTACCCTTTTCTAGGAATAGCAGCTCACTCAACGGTAGTCTGATGTAATGTCTGTGAAGGAGATTGGTAAAGGATCTTCTGGGAGGGACAAAGGACCTGTTGAGGCAGTCAATGTCTCTGCGAAATGTTCGCCTCTTTATCAATCTTAGCAATACTAAGAAAGGAGGAAAGAAATGTAAATTTTATTTAGGTTAAGGTTAATCTCCAAATAATAACTGAAATTTACAATTCTAGTTACATTTGTCTGACAATTAATTTTATTTATTTAATGAAATTTACAACTGTATAAACAATACAACTAGTAAAAATGCACACATTGGAAATAATGACATGAACAGACTTGAAGAGATAGTGCCCAGAGGTAGAACTCCCTATTTAATTCTAGGTGAGAAGATCACGTTGCCATCTTCTTTTCAGAGGCCTAAGGGGATTATCAGGAATCGAGGAAGAAGCAAGTAAACAAGTGGATTTGGATGGGATTAGAGCTTATCATGAAAGGATAGGTATCTCGGGCTAAATCAGCGACATATGGAACATTAAAGACTTCATGAATGGTTTTATTTGTGACAAAATATGGGGCATTAAGGATTTTACGAAGGATTTTGGATTTTAAGGATTGGATACGATAGAAATTATATGGTTTGGTAGAACCCCAAAGCTCCATTCCGTATGTCAATATAGGTCTTTTATGGTTAAGTAGATGAATCTTTTGTAATTAATTGAAAGTTTAGAACGTTTGTCTAGTAAGTGTTGGAGCAGTCGGAAACGTCGAGCAGTTTCTTGTCGGATTCCAAGTGAGACGTTTATCAAAGTGGAGTCCTAGATAGCGGATTTGTTCAACAGGAACAAGTGCAATATCATTGAAGGATATTGTAGGGAAAGAAGTTGTAGGTTTACGACAGTT